AATAATAAAGCATATGAAGTGTATCAATGCCAACATAGTACCTTATTTTGAGAAGATTCCTACAGTTTTTGAAAGTTTTAGGCACAGCTCATCCATATGATTCTTCCATGTCAGATTTAAGTCAAAGGTAACACCTAGATATTTTTTGTGGAAACTTGTTGGATATTCACACCATCAATCATCAGATTAAATGACGTGTGTGGTTTTAACTTTTTTGAATGAAAGAGAATAAAATTTGTTTTGAGAATACCAAGTGTTAGTCTGTTAGATTTCATCCACTCCGCAACTGCTTTTAGCTCACGATTCAACTTTAGTTCAAGATCGTTAAGGTTCTTACAAGAGCAGTAAATGTTAGTGTCTTCAGCAAATAAGTGAAAGGTGAGAAATTCTGAGGCATTAGGTAAGTCATTGATATAAAACAAAAACAACAGAGGTCCAAGAACAGATCCTTGAGGAACCCCAAAAGTGTCTGATAGGGAATCAGAGTCATGACCATTAACAAACACAAATTGTTCTCTGCTGGATAGATAAGATTGAAACCAATCATAGACTTTACCTCTTACTTCATAATGATGCAATTTCAACAAAATAATAGAATGACTAAGTGTAGCAGAGGCGTTTTTAAAAGCTCTGTCGAAGCTCTGTAGGTAGGTAGGTAGGTAAATTTATTTCAATTCGAGATGTACGATAAGCCAGCAACTCGTATTAAATACATTCGAATATATAAAATTCTACATCTACAGTTAACTAAAAATATACAGATACTATATATATTAATATAACGAGAATATAAATTACTTAATGTAATATATATACTTCCTAAAAAAGAATACATTAATGTGGTGACATGGTTTCTAGTAACTAGTAAAGTATTATTACTCGTGATAAATATACTAAAAATAAATGCTTAACATGAACAACTGGTAATGTATAACAGCGTCGTGGTAAAAATGTGAGAAATAAATAGCAATGCAAAAAAAAAAAGGAAAAAAAGAAAAAAAAAGGTCGGTAAGATAATTACATAGTAAAATAAACTAAGATATATAATGAACGGTAGAGCTAACTCTATTGTTCACATATGTTACATTTGCACAATGTGCCATTAGTAAGATTGGTTTTCGATATAGCTTTTTTAAATTTGTTTATGGAGTCAAGCCGCCTGAGCTTAGTAGGGAGATTGTTCCACATACGAGTAACCAGATAGGTAAATGATTTGTGAGTCCATTTCCTATTCGATATTGGCTGAGCTAGTCTGAGGTTGCCCCCTCTTAAATTATAGCGGCTTAGATGGACTTGAAAGAGGTCTCTTATGCACTTAGGACCTCGCTCAGAAAATAAGGCTTGATAAGCCAGAGGCAAGGAGTGGCATAAACGTTGGTGTTCAAGAGTCTGAATGTTGGCCGTTTTTAAGGCATCTTTATATGCACTGTCATGGGGTAGTTTGGAGATAGATCTGAGACCAAAACTATTGGCTTTCTCAAGCTTATTGCGAATTCCATTAGTGATTCCAAGTAATAACGGGCTGCAATATTCAAAATGCGGTGAGACGAAGGTCTTGTAAAGCTTTGCCGCGGTTTCAATTGAAATCACATTCTTTATTCGTTGGATAGCTGAAAGTTTAGCATACACTTTGTTGAGAGTGTTCTTGATATGAAGATTCATAGACAAGGTACTGTCAATAGTGTCGCCAAGTAGTTCCAAGCATTTTTTCTGTTCAATGGCTTCGTTCTTGAGCATAAATGTAGGAAAGGTGTCACAGTTACCAAGGATAATAGCCTTAGATTTCGTAGAATTAACTGTCAGGTAGTTTAGCGTAAGCCAGTCAGAAATTGAGACCAGGTCTTGGTTGAGCTTAATTTCCAGGAGGTTGAGAGATGAGTTACTGGCGTACAAGGTAATATCGTCAGCATAGAGTCTGAGGGATGAGTTATCACAGATCGAAAAAGTTGATGTCATTAATAAAAGTGTTGAAGAAAAGAGGGCCCAACAGGCTCACTTGCGGGACCCCGCTTTTAACAGTTCGCCATTTAGAGAAGTTTCCGTTTAGCTTTACTCTTTGAAGACGACAGTGTAGATA